CTCTTCATGTAGTCGGCAATGAGCAGGAAGACGAGCAGGAAGACCAGGAGGGTCCGTATGGACACGCTGGAGATGCCCTCGCTCAGGAGGCGCAGTATGGCGAGGGTCATGATGCCAGCAGCCCCGGCTGCCTGGATCTGCACCCGGAGCAAAGTGCACGGGGAGACGGGCGCAAGCAAGCTGATCGTGCAGCGCCCGCCTGCCTGGCACGCCTCCCCGCCTCCCTCCCGGAGGGGTTTACATTTAAAAAGCAGTTTGATTCTTAGTGCTTAACTTCTCGTGCATTTCTCCCTTTAAAAAAATAAATAAGCAGAAAACATGTGCAGCCTTTCCTCACCTCTCCTGGGTTATATTATCCTGCAAAGCCGGCTGGGTAGTGCGCTTGCCAGGGGGAAACCAGAGACACTAGGTTGGAAATCCTCCCTGCAGGCTCTCGCTCACCCCTGCGCTCCCAGCTCCTTTCCTTAGTCCTGGCGGCCGCGGCAGAGCCTGGTCGGGAGCTCTGCTACTGCTTCCTGGCAGCTCCGCGGTGATTTCTGGGTCCTCCTTAATGCTCTACCGCAAGTGCAGCGCCCACATCCTCCCCAGAATATACGATATGGAATTAGTGCATTTCTTTCCTTTTTTTTTTTTTGTGTTGTTTTGTTTTGTTTTCATATGATCGCAATGATTAAACAAGGAAAGGATTGGAAATGATTGCATCCATTTATTCTCTTCCATGTGGCCCCATAGAGGGAAGCAGTGAGCTGCAGGAATAGCATCAAGCAAGTTTGAAACAGGAAAAGAGAGAAGGGGAAGCTTGTTTGCTAAGGCAAAGCAAATAGAAGACTGTGCTATTTTTAATCAGAACTTTTTTTAATTGTTTAACTGTAAAATTGTACTTAAAGTTCTCATCACTCGATTATGGCCATGGATGACTTTAGGCTTTTTAGGAAGGGAAGGCCGGGAAGGTGAGGTGGGGGAGTGACTCTTTACATGAGAGAACAACTGCAATGTATGGAGCTCTGCCAAGGCAAGGATGAAGCGCGAGTCAAGGAAAGGTTTAAAGGTCAGGCCAACAGGCACGACACTGTGGTGGCTGTTTACTACCGGCCTCCTGACGAGGAAGAGGAAGTGGATGAGGCCTTCTATAGGCAGCTGCAAGAAGCCTCACGATCACAGGCCCTGGTCCTTATGGGGGACTTTGGGCACCTTGAAGTCTGCTTCAGGGCGAGGAAAAGACAGGCCAGCAGATTCCTGCAGAACATTGCGGATAACTTCTCGATACAGGTCGTAGATGAGCCAAAGATGGGAGGGGCAAGACCACATGGGAACTGTATAGGAACATAGCCAGAGAATGCAGGGATGCAGTGAGGAAGGCCAAGGTCCGTTTGGAATGAGATCTCAGGGGCAACAGGAAGAGCTTCTACAGCTACATTAGCAGCAAGAGGAAGACTAAGGAAAACATAGGCCCGCTGCTGTATGGCCCGGGTGCCTTGGTGACAGAGAATGCAGAGAAGGCAGAGTTACTAAATGCCTCCTTTGCTTCAGTCTTGTAGAAGCTAGTTCCCATAAGCAGTACTGTAGAAGTAGTTCCCATACAGTTCAGAACTGTAGAAGCTAGTTCCCATAACAAACAAAGGCCAGACACAAGAGAGAAAACCAGGAGAGAGAAAGACGTGCTGCTGGTTGAGGACGATTGGACTAGTGATTATTTAGGCAGACTGGACACATCTAAATCTATGGGCCTGTATGGTATGCACCCAAGAGTGCTGAGGGAACTGGCAGGTCTTCTTGCTAAGCCTCTCTCCATCAACTTCGAGAGCTCATGGAGAGTGAGGGAGGAGCCGGAGGACTGGAGGAAAGCCAATGTCACTGCAGTCTTCAAAAAGGGTAAGAGGGAGAACCCAGCAAAATACAGGCTGGTCAGCCTCTCCTCCGTTTCTGGAAAGGTGCTGGAGCAGTTCATCCTAGAGGCCGTCTCTAGGCATGTGAAAGAAAAGAAGGTCTTCAGGAGTAGTCAGCATGGCTTCACGAAGGGGAAGTCGTGTTTGACCAACCTGATAGCCTTCTACGATGGGATGACGGGCTGGATGGATGAGGGGAGAGCAGTGGATGTTGTCTACCTTGACTCCAGCAAGGCTTTCGACATCATCTTCCCATAACATCCTCATGGGGAAGCTCTGGAAGTGTGGACTAGATGAGTGCGCAGTGAAGTGGACTGAGCACTGTTTGGATGGCAGAGCTCAGTGGGTTGTGATAATTGGGGCTGAGTCTAGTTGGAGGCCTGTGGCCAGTGGTGTGCCCCAGGGGTCAATACTGGGCCTAGTACTGTTCAACTTGTTCATCAGGATGAGGGGACAGAGTGCACCCTCAGCAAGTTTGTGAGCAAGTGAGCAAGTCTGTGCTGCCATTCAGAGGAACCTGGACAGGTTGAAGAGTAGGGCAGAGAGGAACCTCATGAGGTTCAACAAGTGCAGGGTCCTGCACCTGGGGAGGAATAACCCCAGACCACAATACAGATTAGGGGCTGACCTGCTGGAAAGCAGCTCCATGGAGAGGGGTTTGGGAGTCCTGGTTGAGAAGAAGTTAACCATGAGGAAGCAATGTGCCCATGTGGCCACGAAGGCCAATGGGATCCTGGGCTTTCGTCATGAGGAGTGTTGCCAGCAGGTCAAGGGAGGAGATCTTCCCCCTCTGCTCAGCTCTGGTGAGGTCACATCTGGAGTATTCTGTGCAGTTCTGGGCTCCCCAGGACAAGGGGGATGTGGAACTTCTGGAGAGGGCAACGAAGATGATTAAAGAACTGGAGGATCTATCGTATCAGGAAAGAATAAGCAAGCTGGTCCTATTTAGCCTGGAGAAGAGAAGATTAAGAGGGAATCTAAATCTGATTGATATGAATAAATACCTGAGGGGGGAATGTAGGGAAGATCGGGCCAAACTCTTTCTTGGAGGTGGCCAGTGACAGAAGAAGGGGTAATGGGTATGAATTAAAACACAGGAAGTTCCCCGTGCTTGTGAGGAAGAACTTCTTTACTGTGAGGGTGACAGAGCCCTGCAACAGGCTGTCCAGAGTGGTTGTGGAGTCACCTTCTTTGGAGATCTTCAACACCCACCTGCATGCAACCCTGTGCCACGTGCTCTAGGTGTCGTTGCTTGAGCAGGAGAGTTGGACCACATGATCTCCCTTCCAACCTCAACCATTCTGTAAGTCTGTGATTTAGCCTGTGAATATAATTTTATTTAATATCCATTTGGGAATTTGAGAAGCCATGAAAGAGCAGCTGTTGCCTAACTGGTTAAACTTGGGTTACTTCTGTGAATGAGGAGCTGATCTGTAGAAATAAATATTTCATTATAAGCCATGGTTTTATGTTTACTTCACCTCATTCAAAGTGCACAGAAAGGATGATGATAGCATCATTTTGATGTTAACCATAGTAATGTCAAACAACAACAAAAAAGCTACTAATAGCCTAGCAAGGTATACGTAAAAAGGAAAGACAGCAATGTAAAAGCAGCATTGTTTTGAAATTTTTGATTTTTTTAAGGCACCGTTCTTGAGCTATGTATATTATTAAAGCACCTTTTGCACCTGTAGAGTGCAGAATAACCCCCCATAATCCAGGAGGGAACAGCCAGTGACCTGTTACTGCACTTGGACACTCACAAGTCTGTGGATCCAGATGGGATTCACCTGCAGGTTCTGAAGGAGCAGGCGGACGTGCTCCCCCAGCTACTCTCCACCATCTATCAGCAATCCTGGTCAACGTGGGAGGCCCCAGTCAACTGGAGACTGGCCAATGCGTCACCCATCTACAAGAAGGGTTGGCTAGAGGATCTGAATTATTACAGGCCTGTCATGGGGCTGGTTGGCCTATGCAATGCCACTGGTTTGAAGCAGAGTGGCTGGAGAGTTGTGTGGCAGCAAAGGATGTGGGAGTGCTGGTCAACAGCCAGCTGAACATGAGGCAGCAGTGTGCCTGCATGGCCAAGGCCAACGGCCTCCTGGCTTGTATGAGCAAGCATGTAGCCAGCAGGAGAAGGGAAGTGATCGTTCCCCTGTACTCGGCACTGGTAAGGCCACGCCTTGAATACTGTTTTCAGTGTTGGATCCTTTAAGAAAGACATGGAGGTGCTGGAGGGTGTCTAAGGAAGGGCAAAGAAGGGTTTACAGTTGGACTCAATGATCTTCAAGCTCTTTTCCAACCATAATGATTCTATGATTCTCTGACCTCTCCCTTTTCTGATGCTTTGAGAGGGTGGCTCCCCACCGATGTCCTGACCGAGCGGCAGCAGCTCTAGCTTGGACGCATGGTATGGCAAAAATAGTTCCTTAGGTCAAGCCATCATCTTCTAGCATTGTGTACCTAAAGGCCATCTAATCAGAAGCTTGCCCAAAATCACCTTGCAAGAGAAGGGCAGGGTAGTCCAGCATCACCAAGCTCAGACTGAGCTGGCTCCCCGTATCATGTAGTCACCAGGACCTGGCTGCAGGTGTGGTGAGAAACTGCGCTCCTTGGGCTTCGCTTTGAAAAATGCATTACACCAATAATGTATCAGTAAGGCTTTATTGGAATGCAGAATACAGACAGAGACATTATAGAGTCAGTCTTTTTATATATATAAAGAGACAGATATTGTCTATCAAAAGTAACAGAATCACAGCTTTTGGCAATTGCTACCTGTGCTCAAACGAGAATACAAGGGCCAGTGCTGCTCTTATTTACTTGCTGCTAAGAATGATAACTAGCAAAATATTATTAAGAAAGCCCAGATTGCTCCTTTTATATGCTGCTAAAAAAAAAAAAAGGAAACCAGAAATAAATATTTATCATCTGGTTGAGCAGAGGTCTTCAACCCGCCACTCGAAGGCTCTGCAGCATTAGGTTAAGGTGAGCAGACAAGCACTACAAGGTCCCTTTGTAAAAGGCTCTCTTTTGCTGTTGGTGTAGAGGGAGCATCTTCTTCCTGGCTGTGCTTCCTGCAGTCACACAGGTGTTTTGGGGCCCTGCTAGCGCGGCAGGGCGCAGATGCGGTAGGGCAGAGGGTGCCGCGTCATGCCCATGCCATAGCGGAAGCTGGGCACGGTGTCCTGCGGCATCCGGAAGGTGAATTTCTGCAGCAGGGCCGTGAAGCAGAGGAAGAGCTCGGCGCGGGCCAGCTGCTCGCCCAGGCAGGCGCGCTTCCCTGCGGAGACAGCGGGAGCCCTGGATTTCCCCTTGCCCAGTGCAAGCAAAACTCTCCCAAAAGGGCATGGAATTCACTTAGGAACATTGTTTGCAGGAGTTTTTGCTCTGCTCTGGTAGTGACTGAGTAGATAAGAGTGGCCTTCCTTGCCTTTAAGGTGTTTCTAAGGTCTCCTCTGTGTTTTGTGGGACTTTATTCCTCCCTGTGGCTTCACCCTGCCTGGGAAGGGAGCCATGGTGAGGGGTGTTTCCTCTGGCCAGCTGCACAAGTTGTGCTGGATGTGCGTGTCCGTGCAGTGAGAGGAGCTGCATTTGGGACAAGTATCATCCTGCTTCCACTCCCAGCCTGGGAACTCATAGTGAAAGGGCTGGGGAAAACATCTGCTCCCTCTTACCTAGGGAGAATGGAATGAAGGCCTCTCTCCTGCAGAACTGGCCATCCTTCAGGAAGTGCTCGGGGTTAAAAGCATCAGGGGTTTCCCATTCCTTCTTATCCATGAGCACTGAGGTCATGTTGGGCATCAGAATGGTGCCCTCAAAGAAAAAGACAACATTTCCCATTATGGTGTCCCCGTGGTTGGCTACTTGACAGCTGGAGCCAGGGTTACCTTGGGCACGAGGAAGCCCCCGAGCAGGGTGTCCCGTGTGGTCAGCCTGAGCACGCCAACAGGGACGACATTGCTGAACCTCTGCACCTCGTGGACCACCGCGTTGGTGTAGGGGAGGGTGGCCTGGTCATCCAGGCCCGGCTGCTGGGTCTGCCCCACTACAGCATCGATCTCCGCTTGCACACGTGCTGCATGCCAGGAGCAAAGTCATCAACAGCACAGTGAAGAAAAGAAAGAAACCCAAAAAACGTCTCTACAGAGCAACAGGGAGGTTGTTGTGAAATTCTCTCAAAGAAGGAAACCGTCATAAGCCCTAATATGTGATGAAGCACCCTATGCTCTGCAGTTTCCTGGGGCAATTAAGCCAAGGCCTCGGCACAGGCAACAAGAGGTCTGTACTGGCACTGCGCGATGAAGAGATGGATGGATGCACTGACCAACCGCCTCTCCTCCCTACACACATGGGATATGGGAGGGAGAGACCAGGAGCAGGTTCTGAACACATGGTTCATTTTACCTTGAATTTCTGGGTACGCAGCCATGTAGAGCAAAGCCCAGCGGAGGGTTGTGGACGTTGTCTCTGTGCCGGCAATGAACAGGTCCAGCATGCAGGCCACAAGATTCTCCTCGCTGAAGCACCCGCTGCTGTCGTCCTTAGCAGAGAAGGGTTTAAGCAGCATGTGGACAGTTGCAACCGCCCGCAGACCATGCTCACCCTTCCTAGCGATAACCTCGCCCAATGACTTTGGTCAGATGCGGGGAGCTCCCTGCACCTTCCAGGTAGGAAAATGCCCTGTGCAGTTGCCTTCCCCTCCCAGGATTCCAGAAGTGGCTATGCGCACAGCATAGCCGCTTTGCCCATATTTTATTGTGTACTGCTTTGCCCATATTGGAGACACACCTGCAGAATTAGTTCTTCTCAATCTATAGCCCGAGCTGTGGGAGGGCTCGGCTGTGTGACTGACCTTGGCTATCTCCTGCAGGTAGCTGTCGATGAAGTCCCGGCTTTCAGTGGGCTGCCAGTCCTCCTTGTGCTTAGCAATTATGTCACACAGAAAATTTTTGAGCTGCTTCCAGATTTGAGAAATGGTGTGGTGGGGCCCGGGGATGTATTTCATGATATTTGGGAAAAAGCTGTAGAGCTTGGCACACAGGAAGAAAAGGGCACATGGAAGAGAGAAACGGAACAACCCCTGTGTTACCAAAAACTTGTGCCTGCAAAGCCGCTTTGATGAATTATGACTAGCACAAATTTGTGCCCGCGTGGTCGTCCCAGCCGGGGAGCAGTACCTGGCTCAGAAGGTGGCTCTGCAGCAACGCCAGCTTGTCCAGTAGATGCAGCAGCTCTTGGAAGTGCTCGTCGTGGTACTCATACCGATCTCCAAACATGACAGAGCAGATGACGTTGGAGACGGCATTGTTAATGTTAAAGTGAGGGTCAAAAGGATGTCCTAGAGAAGAGGAATAAAGAGGAGTGGGTTCTCTCCTGGCTTCTAGTTCAGGATGGGTTTCATAGGGTGATGGAAAGCAAGGAGTGTGGAAAGAGCTAAAGACCTTTGGGAACAGTTGAGTTCAAAAGTGCTCACACTTCTCAGGAGAGCTCCAGGTAAGCACCCACTACAAATATTGCTTTGCCTGTCGCCTCCTAACATTAATCAGCTAACTCTGTTCTGTTTTTAGGAGAAAGCAGCATGCAGGACTGTGCTGTGGTTCTGGCCTCACCCTGCTCTTCCCCAATAGCGTTGGTGAGGTACCGGCACTCCTCCTGTATCCGCTCCTCCATCCTCTTCTTCCCCAGGCCTGAGTTTCTGAGCGAGGTCAGGGCAAATCTTCTCTGCTGTTTCCATATATGTCCATTTGAAAAGAAAAGCCCTGGAATAAAAGGACAAGAAATTCCCCACTGTGGGCAAAGGTAGCTCCTTTTATCGAGGTGAAAAAGCGTTAACTCTGCCATTTGCGATGGCAGAGGAGCCGAGTGCATTGTGGTGGTCACAGATGGCTTTATTCATGGGAAGACAGGTCGTTTGCAGGGTCCATGTTTAGACTTTTGTCCCAAATACATGTCCTGGATGATACAAACTCACCATGTTCGTTAAAGAATTCATTGTCGACAGGGAACCGTGGCCGATCTAGGAAGTTTTCACCTTCATTTACAAGCACCTCCTTAACCATTTTGAAGTTGCTGACAACGATCCAGCTCATGCCACCAATGCCCATGCTGAAGATGTCTCCATATTTCTTTGTAAGCTAGGGGGGAAAAGGGAATGATCAAAGCCATGGAGAACAAAGCTCAGTGGAGGGAAAGCAGATGGGAAATCCCAAGTCCTGGGGTCTTGCCTGGGACCTGAGCAAAGCCACAAGGAACATCAGGGGAGCTAGAAAGAGGAAGGGAGAGATAATGGAGGAGAGAAGGCATTTATTTAAGTGGATGATCATGTAAAGGCCGCTACTTATTACCCAAATCAGTCATCCGAAGTTGGCATTAATTGGCAGTAAATTAAATAAAGCTCTTCAGGCCACATTTTCAAGTCTCGTCTTTGCTTAGCAGGTCTTTCCCAATTCCTGCTTCCCTCCCTCTGCAGCCTTTCTTTCCCCAGAAAAATGTCAATGTTTGTTTGCATCTCCTAGACCCTCGTGCTGATCTTACCCAAACATCCCACCATCCTCCCCTGTCCTGGTGGGTCTCTGGGGCCTCCTCCTCACCTAGTGGCTCCTTGTGGGCCACTTTGACTTGCACTGTCCCCTTTACGCCCACTGTAAATGCTGTGTATCCACCTGGCCCCTTCCCATCCACCCTTGGGTCTCCTTGGCCCTTGGGGCTATTTACCTTCTCCATTCCTTTCAGGGGATCGATGAACCCAATGGAGAGGACATTCCCCAGGAAGGGGAGGCGGAAAGGTCCCGGTGGGAAGTTTTTGGGCTTCCTGCTCTTCATGTAGTCGGCAATGAGCAGGAAGACGAGCAGGAAGACCAGGAGGGTCCGTATGGACACGCTGGAGATGCCCTCGCTCAGGAGGCGCAGCATGGTGAGGGTCATGATGCTGGCAGCCCCGTCAGCCTGGATCCACGCCCGGAGATGGGCAAAGTGCACGGGGAGACGGGCAAACAAGGGAAAGCTGCTCGTACAGTGGCCCGCCCACCCTGTCACGCCTCTCCGCCTCCCACCTGACGGATGGGTTATAACTTAAAAAGCAGTTTGATTCCTAGTGCTTACGTTCTTGTGCATTTTTTTTTATAAAAACATGAATAAGCTAAAAACATGTGCAGCCTCTCCTCAGTTCTCCTGGCTTATACTACCCCACACAGCCAGCTGAGCAGTGCGCTTACCAGGGGGAAACTAGAGACTAGGTTGGAAATCCTCCCTGCAGCCTCTGGCTCACCCCTGCGCTCCCGGCTTCTTTCATTGGTCCTGTCAGCCGCGGCAGAGCCTGGCTGGGAGCTCTGCTTCTGCTTCCTGGCTGCTCCGCAGTCATTTCCGGATCCTCCTCAATGCTCTGCCCCAAGTGCAGCGCCTATGTCCTCCCCGGAATATATCACAGGGGCTTAGTGCAATTCAGAAAGCCTTTTTTTTTTAATTGTTTTTTTTTTTTTTTTTTTTTTTTTTATTTTTCTTTTGGTTTTCATATGATCGCAATGATTAAAAAAGGAAAGGACTGCATAAGATTGCATCCATTTATTCTCTTTCATGTGGCACCATAAAGGGAACCAGTGCAGCTGCAGCAACATCATGCTAGTTTGAAACAAGAAAACCAAACAGGGGAAGGTGGTTTGCTAACCAAACCAAATAGTACACATTGTGCTATTTTTAATTGGAGCCTTGTCTCCTGGTTAGAGATGAAATTAATATTTAATACCTAACCATAAACATTGGCTCACTTTTATCCAGACACTGTATTATTTCAGATGCCAAAGTAATTCAGGTACTTGGGTATGAGATCAAATTTTACATTTTTTTTTAACTGTTTAACTGTAAAACTGTACTTAAAGCTCTGATCACTGGAACGTGCCATGGATGGCATTACGCTTTTTAGGAAGGACAAGAATTTTTAAACCTTGGTTTTATTTTGCTATGGAATGAATCCATCTATATTTGCATAAAGATTTTTAAAACTAATTTGCTGGTGTCTTTTATTCCAAGCACCGTATTGAATGGGTCCTAGCTGGTGCTCCCCCTACTTCCGAGCAACCTTTGAAGTGATTTGGCATGTAGCTCTAATTGCACAGTCTGAAATGTCTTACTACAGCATACATTTCCTGTTAACAACCATCGGACAAAGCTGTGCTGCTTTTCTTCCTCCGCTCTGTTCCTTCCTGCCTTCATTTCTGCTCCCCTTCAACGCCAGTTCCCTCTACTCCACCTGCTAACAACATCTAAGGCAGGGGATGTTGTGCAGGGGAAAAACTAAGACCTACCAAAAATTAGCTCTCAAATGACTCCCTCCATTGCTTATTGCTGCTGACGTAAAGCAGGATCTCTCACGCTTTCCTCAGCCACACCAGTAGAACATAGGAGAGGGACAGTCCTAAATCCTGCAACTAATGATAATTTGGAAAAGAAAATCACGAGCTCTCTCCTGTGTGCTTTGGGGGTTATTTATGTGCCTGAGTGTTTGGCTGCGCCCTTGCTCCCTGAACGCTGAGCTGGACCCAAACATTGCCCTGGGCGTGACTCCAGGCGTGAGGGGCGCTCTCTGTGTAACCTGGCCCCAGGGGCTGGTACAGCAGCGGCTCATGTGAATCCATGACTGGTGCTGCAACAGAGGGGAGAAGCGTGCGGAAAAGTGGGAGGAAAGAGGAAGGAAATGTTATCCATGAGGAGGAAAAGCAGGGCAG